ATCCTGGACTGAATGAGCAAGAGGCTTTAGCTTGGGACTTGCATGAGAAGCAGTGTGCTGTGCAGGCAGGTGCTTGGCAGAGCTGCTGGGAGAGCAGCTCCAGAGTCTGAAAAGGATGGGATTTCAGTCCATGCCTCACACATGAGCTTGGGAAGGGCCCTGCTCCACACTGATATGCATGACCCCAGCTCTGTCCCAGAAGCAGATGCATCTGACATCCCTCACCTTCATGACAGGGCTATGAACCACTGCAAGGCACTGAGACCCTCCAAGCTTCCTTTCAAAGGTATGTCACAAAGCAAAGAAAATTAATGATTTACTGGACAGAAAAAAAAAAGAGGAAGCTCAGTGATCAGGACAGTTAGCTCAGGAGAAGGGAAATCTGGGGTCTAGTTGATGGTTGAAGAAGCATTTATTCATTTGGCTGTAGACAGCCACCTGAGAAAACACACTGGACTGCAGGAATTAGACACCCCAGTTCTTACTCCTCCACCAAATGAAATCTCACTCCTGCAGAAGGAGGGGGAGCTCTTTTGCCAAAGGAGAGGACACCTCAGCAAAATAAGCAGCCATCTGGAAGGTGAAACTTCCTGAGATGTTGGAGATGCAAGCGTACACTCCCCTGCAAGGCTGGAGAAATTCTTGTCGGCAAACCTCAGGAGAGACCTTAACTAAGGAGCTGCCAGGAAAAGGGAGGGCTGTGTTTGAATGTGAGGATGGCACCTGAGTGACAGTAGGTGGGCCACAGGGTGCCTGTCACCTCCGGGGCACAGAGGTTCTCAAGAACGGTGTTCCCCACAGCATGCTGAGTGTCTCCTCTCTCTCATGGCAGGAGCAGTTCCAGACTAGCTTGGGTGAGGAACAGTGATAAGCCAGGGACTTCTGCCACCATTCTGGCACCTAAGGTCCACTTCAGACATCTAAATCCTTCCCACATCTGGCCTTAACTCTTGAACAGAATAAAGAACTGAAATAAAAGAAGAGAATCAGATGAAAACACATGACCATTGCAGTCCTAGTTCAAATGCAAATATAGTCATTTAAAGTGATGCCTTCCCAGATGAATTTTCAACACCATGCTGTTTCTCTCACCTGGGCTTCTTTACGTTCTTTACATCAAAAATGTACTTGTCTATATAAATATGATGGTGCCTGCGTCTCCTTCTGCAGTTCTTATGCTCCTGTTTTTCTCTTGAACAGCTTGAGGAGAAAGCCATATGCTGGACTAGAAGTGCTCAGAGCTAAGCATGGCTCTCACGTCTGTTAGGTTGCATGCCCAAAGAAGGAACCCATCACTGCAAGACAAACAGTTATTTCCCCCACACTGACTGCATCACTTCAATATTCCCTACATCAATGTCAAAAGTCACCAAATGTGACAGCCTGCTGCCAAGCCACTCCTTCTGCAGCTCTGAAGATCAAAATGAAGCCATTAAGTTGTTAATCAGAAAGCATACATTATACCAAGTACCACAAAATTGCAGAGATGAGCTGGTTCTCCTCTTTTTCTTTTGTAATACAATTAAGACGCTATCAGGCCAAAGTACAATATTGTGGTATCCTGGCATAAGTGAAAATCTTTGAAAGTGGCATTTATTTGCCACCAGAACCACAAGCTAACAATACTGACTCCATGCAGGCAGCCCCCATCTGTTGCTTTTGCTAAGTTTTGAACAGACACATGATACTGTGTATTGTAAGGTATTAACAATCCCCAGACACCATTATCAGCAATGTCTAGTGCCTAAAATTTATACTCCACCAGCTATATCCCCCTTCCAACTGGCCCTTTGATATACTTCTTTCCTTCTGTTTGCCTTGCAATATAAAGGAATCACATCCTGAAACCACACTGTCAACTTACAGAATGGATTCAAACCAAACAGATAAATAAGAAAATCATGTCAACCAAACTTCAGACCTGAGTGTAAGACATAGGCCCACACAACAGAATCAAGGCGCACGCTGTCCAACTTACTGTGTAACATACACTCATGACTGACTTTGATGCTCTCTTTTCTAGTACTATGTAGCCTGTAATAACCTTACCACTCCACAGCATACCAGGGAGCCACAACATAAAGACTGAGAAGGCTACAGTAGCCAGAGCTCCTGCTTGTTGCAGCAACCAGTGTGACAGGGAGATCTTGCAGGCAGCTGTGCTACGGAACATTCTACAAAGCATTCTACAGAGCCGTGCTACAAAGCATCACCACCTACAAGGTGATCAGCTACTTCAAAGGAGTCATTTAGGACGCGTCAGTAAGGTTCATACATGGGCTATGGTGCAAGAGGCAAGCTGAAGACCAAGTGCACATATTAAAGCATCCTTTTACGCTGACAGATCCTGAAAGCTAGAAATAGAAAAAAGAAAAATCTGCGTGCCACCCTTGATTTCTTCTCTCTGAAGAGAGAATCCAAAAAGCTATGCTTGCAACTTCATGTTAGTCTTTTGCTCTTTGAAATCAGCTAGAAAGTTTTGCCTGTGTTTAATAATCACATGGCTCAAAAGTACCAGCCATGTACCAAACAGACAGGCAAAAGCCACCTTCAGGTAGTGTTTTGGACATCTTCTTCCATGTGTACATTACAAATAACTCGTGACAGTAAACGGCATCACATGCATCCAAATTCTGGAGCTTTTGTTGATAGGAAACCTCAATAAACAACTAAACGGCTATTGATAAGAAGTATCCTTTCCTTTTAAAGGCAGTCATTGTTTACAGTCCAAGTTTCTTGTATTTCTAACGGCGAGAAACAGCTCCAGCACTCGCCTCCTCTGGCCAATCACGCCTGGTAACACCTGTCTTTTCACATTCTCGGCTTTATTCATTATTTATGTCTCTCTTTACACAATACACCCACAGGACAATACATCTCCAGCATGCTTACGATTTGATCCAAAGCTCACTGGAGTCAACAGAATGACTTCACTGGCTCTGGAGTGAACCGAGGGCCCCAGCTCCGCAAACAGGCTTCCAGCCTGAGGAGGGACTTACGCACAAGTTAGGCATCCCAGCCCAGAAGTGCAGTCGCAAAATCCCTAACCCTTTAGCTGCTTGTCTTTTAACCAATCAAGGTCTCCAAAAGCCTGAACTGTTTGCAGATAGTTTCTTTTCTTCCAGTTATCTGTTTCGTGAAAAAAAGCCCACAGGACACCAACAACTTCACTGTAGTGATCCATGAAATAGGGGATCAGGGGTAAGACCTCCATCTCCCAAATATGGTCCCAACTACTAAGGGCTGGAGTCATATTATGTGTACATGTGTGTCTGTATATGTGCATGTATTTGTATATATGTATATAAACACACAGATGGACACACAGACATTTTTTGCTCCCCCTTCTGGCCCCATGGATCTTGAATTTTTTTCTTCTTCGTGGAAGCAGAGGAGAGCAGGAGGACAATCCTGCCTCCAACGTGACTTGTAGCCAAGGGTCGGCAGCACTCCTCTGGGAGGTGCACAGTGTGAAAAAAAAGCTGTGAAAACCAAAGCTTTTCTCCCTCCATTATGGCAGCACGGAGATGTCCTCTGGATCCCTGGACACGTATCCCCTTCAGTCAGGCGGGTTCATCCCTCCATTATGGCAGCACGGAGATGTCCTCTGGATCCCTGGACACGTATCCCCTTCAGTCAGGCGGGTTCA